TTCTGTGTTTCCCAAATGTGGTCCCAAATATTTCATTTGAATCCAAATGCAATAAAAAGTATGGACCACACTTTTGTAAACCATGAAGATGTTCAATTCGTGTTTGATAATGGGACTTGTGTCTCCTTATTTTGCAGTATTAATATTCAGCAGCAATATCCCAGTTACAGTCCAATCTCCTCTTTTCCTTTCTATTCCAACAATGAACACCTTTGCCAGGCTGGCGGGGAGAGGGGCGGGGGTGAGGGGAAGGGAAGGGGAAAGGAGGCAGGAAGGGGAAATCAGATACTGGAATCCCTTTGCATCTATCGATTATATCATTTCTTTGTTGCCATTGGGGGTGGCAGGGATGGAGAGGGCATTCAGTATTCTCCAGAAGGTGCTGAATGCTGCCTCTTCTACCCTGAGACTTGCTCCGGCTGTTGAGCAGGACCCTCAACATGCTATCACTTGAATTGTGTGTGCCCTACTTATTATGATATATTATACTGTATACCTGAAAGTCACATCTAAGTTCTGCTTAAAAAAGAAAATAGTAAAAACACTTTTATTGGTCTATTCACTTATGTTTGGGGAAAGCAAGATAAAAAGTTTAATCACAACTGGTGTTAGTCACACTTGTTACATAAAAAGGTTTCAATTATAAAGTAGATTTTTAAAACACTTTAAAACACTATATTTAAAATATTGCATAGTCATGACAAGTAGTTCACCTGGCTGCTTTGATATGTGTGTAAATAAAGTGGCATGGACACATTGGGATTCCTGGTAAATCCACACTTACAATCCAATGCCCTGTTTTTTATTATGACTACAAGTTACTGCATGCCTGCAAGTCTTACGTCTATTTCCTTAGAGACAAGGGTACATTGGTAACTTATTAATTATAAAATGAGCTCATAGCTGTTACATAATACTCTGCCAATCTGCTAGCATGTTTCAGAAGCCATTGAATACATAAGGACTATTTAAATCCAGCAATGTTACCTTTTAAATATGCTACCAATCAACTGGGATAATGGTTACATACAATAAAACTACCTAGTTCATATTCACAAAAACAAACAGATCTTCCAGGCATTCTGCCTTTTTTTCTTACTGAAACACACACTCTCTCCCTCTCTTATATTTTAAGTGGTGTGGCAGAAACATGGTTGTGTCTGTGTGTTCCAAATCTGCACTATCATCAATGCATGTGAAGAAAAGGAAATAAAATGATTTCTGCAAAACTGAGTCTCAATAATTTTATTTATGTATTATCAAACAGCGTTGGTAGCGAGTTTGCTAATATGTGGCAAAATACCACAAATGCGGGCTGAAACAATCTCACGTTTTGTTTTAGCTTGTCATTCAAAACATTTAACTTGAATTTCTGATACTATCTCATGTACCTTGTCTAGATAGAAAATATCAGAGGAACGTTAATAGCTCAAGACATGAAACAGTTAACAGCAGTGTACATGCCAAGGTTTTAATAAGGCTTAACAATAAAAAGCTTCAATCCTCTGCTTTCACTAGATTTTGTTGTGGTGGTTTTCCCTTGCTTAGGGCAATCCATCTGTTAATGTTGACTTGCAATACAGCTAAGCTCAAAACCATACAAAAAGCCCAGAACAGCTAAGTTAAGCAAGAGTGGTCTCAAACATATATTAAAGAAAGAGAGAGCGAGCGCATGAACAATTCTGCTAACACTATCTTAGACTAAGTTGAATTGTGGCATTTTTTTATTAGCTTTCTTTGGGAAAGATTTTCCAAATGCTAATTAAGGGAAACCTTTGTAATAAAAAATAATATATCAGTAATACAAAAATAGTTTGTGATAATTATTTATCTTCTGCTTAGGCTTTTGCAGCTTTTTACATATTATAACTCATTTTGATTTTTAAAGTCCACTTTTTAAAAATAATCACAAGAGCAAAGATAAAGATTGGTAAATATTCATTGTTAAAAATGGCTTTGCATTGTGACCGGTGCCAGTATTCTCACTGGGCCAAACTGGCCTTGTTTTCAATAAAACCAGAGAAGAATCCTTTCCCTTGAGCCCTGTTAGGCTGAGGCTGCAGTTGGAACTGTCATCTTCACACAAAAGCAAAGGGGTTGGGTTTTACAAACGCAAAGCCTAATTGGAAGATCTTCATGGTTTTACCCTTGACATTTATTTAAGCCTCATCAACAAAACAGGAAATAACCGTACTAATTAGACCAGCATACAAACTACTATTTGTTGGAGTAAAAAGCAGATTCACATTCTATTGTATACAATCTCTTAATAATGAAATAGTCACTAAACTGATCTCTAGAATCAAGATAACTTTGGTGTTATACTCTATTTTAAAAAAGTATTTTTAAATTATCAAAAATAATTTGAATTTACTTGAAATGACTAATTTTACACTTGTGATTTACTGGAAAGCAGCAATGGGGGAACACTCCTATCCAGAGGCCTGACATGAAACAGAAAGTGCAACATTAAATTCTATATGTTGCAGTACTTTAAAACGACTTACTGCGAGATGGCTGATAAAAGAGGGGGGAGACCTCATCATCTTAAGGTAAGAAGACTTCCACTCTGGGATTTTGCAAGGGTTCTGATTGTTGATTTTTCAAATAACCAATCTTTATCCATTATTTAAAATATATATTCAAATGCACAAGCAACTGTTTAACCATTAGCACTATCTTATCTTTCAGCTACTGCACTGAGATGACAGTGATCGGCACCATTTCTGACGATAATGAAGTATAGCAATGAATGCAATTCACTTGCTTTTAATATTAATAAATAATAATACAGTTTACATAGATGAAAGCTTTCAAAGCCAGTAGTTAGCTAACAATGTACACATCCATTGGACTAATGCAAAGAGCCTCCATGTTTAAAAACAGCACCAGTTATAACACACAGGAAAGACTGAGGCTACATACAGATAATGCTGTTTTGGTACCAGAAAGCCCAGTTTCCATTTTTTGGAACTGTACAAGACCAAAACTTCTTGGACAGAGATTAGAGCTTATTGTTTTCCTGCCCACTGGGCACATGTGACATGCAGGGTAGAGGATGGGGTAGAGACATGGGTCATGCTGCTCTTTCAGTTAGGCAAAGATAAGGAGCCATCAGAGACAGAGCTTCTCGCATAAACAAACCCCTGCTTTTTAAAGCCCATTAAGATTTTCCTTATTCTACATAGGACAAAAAATTCGAACAGTTCTGACCTGATACGCTTTTGAAAGAAGCATATGGTGTTTCAAAAACAAGAAGCTGGCAAAAAAGATATACTAAATCTCAGTATTATACAACTGTATAAAAGAAAAATTATGCAAATGTTTAAGTATTCTACAATAACATAGTCCTTCAGAACCCAGTAATACAATTAAACAAAGTAGCACAGCACCTAGAACTGACCATGAAGTAAATTAATAAACTAACAATTTTTGTATATGTACATCATGAAAAAGCATCTGAATGTAAAAACACATATTTTACTAACATTTGTGTTGTATATTGGCATATATTCATAAAAGTTGAAGTGAACATATAAACATATTTGGGTATGTGTTTCTACAGTATACTGAAACATGCAGTGTTATGAGAGACAAATGTGGATGATCAAGAAGTTTCTATATATTAAAATGACAGTTACCAATTAAAAATAAATATGTTAAGTATCAATCTGTGTTATAAATATATTTAGAATTTTTAAAAAGTATCTGAATATCATCTGTCTAAACAATCAAGGAAGGAAATTTAAACTACACAGGTTCTGAAAAGAAAGACAGCACACACATGCAGAGCTGACAGCACACACATGCAGAGCTTAGTATTATGTATATAAAAAGAAATCTGAAAATCCCGTTACAGACGAGAATCTACCTGCATAATTAAAATAGATATGCCTACATTATTTATACCACTGGAACAAGTGGTGTCAGTATTACCATACTTTCTCAGCAGAGTGTTAGAAAATGTAACAAATATAATCTAATTTTATATTAATTTCCACAAACTTTTTTTACTTTATCATTGTTCAGAAACATGAATACAAGTATGTGCTTACAGAATTTAAATTTTACCGTAATATTATATAAAGTAAAATCGTGTTAATAGTCAGATAAATTGTCAATTCAAAGAGGTACTCATTTGACCTACAGAACACACGTCTCATCTAAGGAAGAAATGTTTGTGGTATAAAACATAGGAATATTAAATATATATATTCCTATTAAAAAGAGATTACAAAACCCTCAAACTGTTTATTAGTCTATATAATTCAAATAGAATTTGGGCATTTGGGAATTAGTACTAGGCTAAAACTGAGATATGACACCTGTTACAGAGAACCAGAATCATTATAGTACCGAGAACAGAAAGACAAGACATCTGACACAGTTTTAGCTAGTTGCTTTAATAGTACGTTCACTATATGATAATCAGCTTAAGCAAGATCTAAATTAAAGGCTTGTCATCTCTCAAAATAAACTGGCGTTAGAGAAAGTATTAACACATGCCATTGAATTTTAGTGTTATAAAAATATAGTTTATCAGTGAAAACCAGTTTGGAATAAACCACTTTAATATTAATGTGTTTCATCTGAAATGTGTGTTTTATACCTCTAAAATTATTTATGGGAGTCCATAAACTTGGATACTACTAAGTAAAATTTCAATATATCATACCTTCAATATTCCTAGCAATTTATCAGTTTTGTACTCTTTCTTATCAGAACTTTTAAACAGAATTTATTAAATATATATTTTTAAAATTTAAGACCTATTTCTAAGAATCAATCACAATTTCTTTTCCCAGGGATGGATCTGCCAACCCCATTTCCCTGCTGAATTTCATATTTTTTTCCCTCCAGGAGGATGATATATGATGAACCATTCTTTCTTTCAAGACAGTGTATTATTGGGAATACTACTTAACTTCATGTTTCCTGAATATAAATGGGAGTACAGCCCTATTTTAAGAAAGTGATGGCACAGGTTTCAGATGACTTACCTGGGCAAGTCTTCGTTTTTCTGAGTTTCCTCTTTTCTGCCTGTGTAATGTGTACACTGGCACATGCTGTACTGCACTAGAGCTACAAGTTCCATATTCTTCATTACTCTCCTAAATAACAGAATAGATTTTAAATCCCATGTTTATAATTTTTATCTAGATATATTATGTTGTACATACAATACTAAAATCATTCTGTTAATACGGATCATTTATTGCTAAATATCTGTGATATGACCACACCTACTAACAAAAAGAAATACAGCATCGCAAAAAGTAAAGAGTTATCTAAGCATCTTTCACGGTGTGAAGTTTTCAAATGAAGCCTTTAGAATCTGTGTAAAACAATTTAAATCCATTCATGTTTAACTTTATTTTGAGAAAAGTATAAAATAATGTGGCAGTTAGTTCCATCTCCCCACAAGGAAAACCATAACGAAGAAATAAATTCATTGGGAAAACTGGTTTTAAATGCCTAAATCAAGCTTCATTCTGATATTTCTATGTTACTTCTCAAAGTTGAAAGTGTTCTCTATTTTGAAACATTAACATGGTGCTCGGATTTTAAAAATCCAAAACAGACAACTACACCTTCTGAATTACACCGTACTGCAAGACTATCCTGTCTTAAATTCTCAGCTTGAAGCAAAGCCTTCAATTGTAATATCAAAGCAATCAACTTTATGAAAACATACACCCTGTTACCGTATCTTTGAAGATCACTGTTGTTCTATGATAAAATATGCAAACAATAAAGAGATTATTCAGTGGATGCATAGGATGACAGATAGTTGCCAGAGGGCTCGTTATGAAAAATGTATTGTTGAACAAAGGGCTAAGCATATTTCAAAAGTCATTAAAAACACAAATCTCATGTGATTTGTAAAGTTTAAGATTCAAACTGATACAGAGGTAAAAAGTAAAAATTGTATAACATACCTTGTTTTTTAACTTACACCTCACTTCTTTTATTCCCTGCTTTGCATGATTTTTTGCCTAGAAAATTAAAACAAAAGGATTTAACTATTGACACAAGATACATGCTTTGTTCACAGAATATACTTCATAAGGCCTACATAATAAGAAATTATTTTTGTATTTTATGTGATATAATAAATAATAATAATAATAATAATAATCTGTATCACTAATTTCACGCAACCTGTACCAGTTAGCTATACTATGCAAACAGTGGTCAGTTAAAAAACACTAATTTGCCTATTCATCTATTGCTAAAAATGAACCATCCACTGGTATCTCGTGTCCAGACCTTTATTTGAGATAGTCCTTTAAATTTGAAGTAGTATTTTAATAGCAAGTCATGTTGGAAAACTGTTATAATTTTCAAGCTCACTGCTACAGTGTTCCAGTCTGGTAACTTTCAAGACAACATCAGTCTTAAAAGAAATGAAGTGGTTTTATATGCAGATGGAGAATTTCTCCAGTGTTGCCGAACAGCATATCACTGATAGTTAGGGAGAAATCATGTGCATTAAAATAGGCAGCCAAGTCCCATGACTGTTCATGACGATAATTTGCACAGAAAATGGACCCAAGGGCACCCCTCTGTTTAGAGATGAATTACCATGCTTGATTATAAATAACTGCATTCAAAATTTTCTACAGTTTATATTTGCTAGACAAAATTCTAACCTGATCTTAAGACAAATAGGAAAGTTTTCTTACATGAACCCAGTTAGATTCTAGTTAACTTTTTAGACCCAATCTTCAAAATAGCCTTGAAAATTATGCCTACGTCTTTTATGTTTATGGGCTAGATACGTAAAACTTCAGAATCTACAAATGAAAATCAATGCTGTACACACCTGAATTATTTATTTTGCACTCAAGGAGTTGTAGTTTGTGGGAGAATTATGAGTGTTACACAACTTGGGACCAGGCCTGCCAACAGGGGAGAAGAGGGCAAAGGTGATAATTGCCCTGGGGCCCGGTGATTCAAAAGGGCCCCAGGCAGTGCTGAAGGGCTGGTGGGGAGAGAGCAGTCCAAGCCCTGCACCTTCTGCTCAAAGCCTCCCCACCTTGCAGGAACATGAAGTCAGCCCATCACCTTGTTCAGGGGCCTGGCAATTCTGCTGCCCCCGCTTCTCAGCTTGGGACAATTTTTTGGCTACATTAAGGCATTATTGAAAATTTGACTCTTAAATCATAAGCTCAGTAGCAGCAGGGTGTCATGTAGTAGATTCATTATGTATGAAAAGGGAAAGGGTAGCAGAGGACATATAGGCCTGCTCCTGCACCTTGTTCCATTCCTGAACATGCACAAAGTCCCAGTGAAATTAATGAGGCTTCTTGCACACAAAGAAGTCTGTTGATGCAGAAAAAGTAGGATCATGGATGTAATGGGAAAAATGGGTGGCAGGGAGGAAATCATAAACCTTATCTAAGCTCATGAAAAACAGAGGAAAAGAATAATTTCCCAATAACCTGTTAATGAACCATTTTAAAATTATCAATTAATAATGGATATACAATACCTATAATTTATTTATCTGTTTCTTACCTCATGACTTTTGTGAAAGTTTCAATTGATGTATAATTAAAAATTCTCTTTTACAGTTTTATTTAAAATCGACTAGCATCACACTGCAGCACTGATTTATTCAGAACTACTTACTATGCATCAATTTAAAGAGCCCTTGAAAAGCCAAAAGGATGGCAAAGAAGATTTTTTCCCCTGTGTGCTTTGAATCCAATCTTAAATACTTATCATTGTGTCATTTCTTATGAGATACCACACTGTTTTTATGCCCTGGATAATATAATGTAACTCACATTGTTTATGACCTAAGCGTGTTTTAAAGATACTTTTAAAAGTAGACTGTTTGTCAAACTGGAGACATAAAATTAGTCAAATAGCACATGGTAAATCTCAGGTTTAAATCTTCACTGAGTAGTCTGCAATGTGGATCCTGCTACCATGCACTAAAAGTTCTCTGGAACACTTTGATGTATTCATTTCAAAATGGGGTAGATAAAAATTTATCAGGTAACTTTTACTATAGCAGGATTCTTGTGAACAGTTAACAAGTGACATGCCAGAGCAGTGCAGATTTACACCCAGCTTTGTGTAGACAAAGTATAAATGAAGGAACAGGAGTGCAAGTCCATAATTTTTTAAATTAGTGTTATTTTATTAATACCAAACAATAAGTTCAAAAGATATTCATGCTCAGGTAACTAAGAGCTTGCTTTTGATGGTAGTTATGGACTGCAATCATTCCCTGCAAAAAATATAAATGCTTGCCAACACCAGCCCACTTTGGACAGGGTGCCACTTAATGCTAAAATGAAGTCCTTAGGGACTTATTGTTATTTTACACAAAGACCACTTCACACCACCTAGAACTGTCAATTACATTTTTAAATGTACAGTTGCAAGAAGTAGTAAAGGGGTTTTCGAGTAAATGAGATTTAGTATTTTCAGAGTCCATATTTTCATATTATTATCACTTAAGTAAAGGCTTTCAGCTATATTTCAAATATGCAATAGGTATTCAATAGGCATCTATTTCATATTTTGAATTAAGCCAAAAATAGCATACCGAACCTTTTAAAACAGTAATATGGAGTGGTGATTGTTTTCTTCAAGCTATCTGTTAGATTCAGAATCAACTCTAAAGTCCTCAGCACTACACAAGAGCAGAAATGAAAGCTGAAAATAATTTCTTGGGCTGTAATGTTTTTCTGTAATATATATTGGAAGGCTATAACTTTCAGTTTTTGAGAAGAACTGGAAATGGTAGGTCATGTCTGTAATTGTTTTATGTACAGATTGAGATAATCTTACAAATTTGTACGCTGTCTTCACAGCAGGGCTGGCTTTGGTCATTGCTGTGTTAATTAGTGCACCTCCTTTCTGAAACATAAAAAAATATATTTTAATAATCCTTATAACACAAATTAAAAGTTAAGACACTAGTAAAAAATATACAACAGTCTGACATATAATGAAATGGGAAAATAATGACCCTCTTTTTAAATTAGGAACAATTTCTACAGCTGCATTCCATCTACAACCTACTGTCTACATCTACACCTACAAAGAGTTAAAGTATGTCACTATCAGGGCTGATGCATATTTATCAATGAATTCTAATATAATGACGTATTCTCATATCTATGCATGCACTGTTACCAATCCTACATGTAATATGAAAGTTTGCTTTGGCTTTTTAATGTATATGTTGTATTATATTTTAAAAGCTATTTCTATCGCATAGAGGTAATCACGTCTAATTTAATCATGAGTTTTTTCTAAAGTGCTTTTACTAAACCTTCATAGTAAAATGTTGTGCAATAAAGGGTCCTTTGTTAGTCAGACTATGTAGAAACATTAATAACCAAATTGCTGTTTACTAGAAGGGATAAAATTCCTATCAAATCCTAGAGAGACACCTAATTCACAGTTATGGAATGTAACACAATACAGCATACTGAAAAATCCTTGGCTAGATGCAGAGGAAAACATTCCATGCTTCTCAAAATTTGGCATTCATTTTGTTCATCAGCCATTTTCTCATTTTTAATCTAATATAAAAATGTTGCCAAGACAAAGACACAAGTTTATGACAAAAACATTTGGTTACAAATATTTTGTTATATCAATACAACAAACAGAACAAAAATTTAAAGAATGGGACTAATTGACCAGATAAAGTCAACTATCCTTTTAACGCATGATGTTCAGTATGCTGACTTTTTCAAAGACAAAGAGATAACTAGACAAATAAAAATAAAATTATTATACCTTTACTGTATGCACCCACTGTTGATAAGATCTTGAATTTCCTGAGAGATGAATGTAAAATAAGATAAAATAAAAATGATCAGAAACACGTTCAACACATTTTGGATGTTCCCACCTTTTTGACCACACATTTTGTATTTAAAAAAACTCTTGGATTGTTAAACATGAATTGGAGTCTTCCAATACTATGAAGAAGGGAACTTCCATGTACATTCATTAAAAATGGGAATGCCCTATTATGAACATCTTGTTTTCTTTCCAATAATGCTTCTTTTTCACTACACCCAATAGTTTTCTCTGAAGAAAACTGCTAATTCTGACTCAAGTATGAAGAGAAATTAAAGCCATAATATTCAGACTCACTAAAACCAAAAGAAAAGCCCATATAAGTCTGAAGGAGGGGTGTGTATATATTGTTCTAATGCCATATTTTGTAATAAATATTGCAATTTCCCCCTTTTCACCCAGAATTGGATTCAGCCCTTTATTCCTTTGGGCAAAAAGAAAAACTCACAGTGAGAAAATGTACTGGACTGCAGACACTACCTTCTTAGTATCAGAAGGAAAAGGACTAGCAACAGGAATAAGGATCTTGGTATCACTTCACATCTTTGATGAAGAAAATCCCACTGTAATTTGTTGTGTAAATTCTATGCTCATTCTTTCACATTTTAGAAAGTAAATGGATCAGTAAAACAACTACTAACATAGGTAAGATCACTGAATGGTATATTATTAAATTTAATACAAAACAATAAATACAAATTTAATAAATTTAATACAAAACAATAGGCTGGTTGAGGTAGAACAAAAACATCAGTTTCAGAAGACGTCTAGTCAACATGCAACCCTGTCTTTCTTATCCTTGACAAATGTTTATTAATCAATTGAATACATTGTTATTGTAAAGTGAAACAACAGTTACCATGAATGAATACCTGCAAGCAAGAAATTGGAGATCACAAAAATCATGTTGTTCAAAGAGAATTTACCATCTTTGCAAGGAATAATATCTTTTGACAAAGTATCAGCGTTTAACAGCAGATCTCAAAAGGTTAAGATGAAATAAATTTAGTAATTAGTACCGGGATTGGCTGGTGGAAAGCCAAAACACCAGCAAACCTGACTCTCACAAAATGTGTTTGAGAACTAATTGTAAAAAGTAATCCAGCAATTTCTGGGTGAGTTAAGTGAAGAGATTTAGCTGTTTAGACTTGCAGAAATGCTTTCATTTAAATGTTCCATACCATTGCATTCAATTCCTTGCAAACAATTCTGCAATATCTATGTTCTTGGGAATGGTTCAGTGAGTGAAAGTGACACCAAGTTGGAAAAGAGAGCTTACTAGAGTTGACTGTACACTTATTCCCAACCAAAGTGCCTTGACCAATATGCTACATTCACAAAGACTGACTTGTCCTTTTGAGATTGACTAGACTCACTGGTGTTACTGGAGGACACACAGTACACACACAAAAACTACTTCCTCACCATAAGATAGAATGCAGGCACTAATATAATGAACTTGCTAATGTAACAATGTATTGCTCAGGGACATGGTAAACTTAACCGCAGAATCATTCTGGACCTGATCAAAAACCCACTGTAATAATGGATGACATTCACATTTCTTAAGAAAGAAATTCCTGCACTTGAAGTGTGTATATTAGGGCCTCACTGAATTCCATTTGTTGCCAGAGATTACAGTAGATGAGATTTTGCCATTTAATATGAGGTTTATACCGGAAGGGAGGCTTGCGGATGACAAATCCTTCCAAAGTTGTACCATTTACTAGTCAATCAGTGATGAAAAAGAGATATATACTCAACCAGGAAAAATACAAAGCAAATACCATGTATGCTGAGCCAATATCTGAACTACCTCAAATTTAAATTGGAAAACACTGAATTGTTATTATGTAGCTCAGATTCACAACAGAGGTTCAAAGGTCTCTTGATTTCACTAGTAAGTAGAATCTTTTCCCACTACTAGCTCAAAGGTTGTCAGCAGAAATAAAAAAAAAATTGTACTATGCAAATTGCGTATTGTATTTTGATTATTTTTCAAAATAGCCTATTTCAAAATTTCGAAATAACACATTATTTTGAGACATCCCTTATGCAACGAGGTTTACAAGGATGCCGAAATAACGCATCCGCTATATTTTGCAATAGTAGATGTGTTCAAAAGATGAGGGGTAGCTATTTCGGGATACCGCTGGTATCCCGAAATAGCATTGCAGTGTAGATGTACCCTTAGATACGAATGTTTCCTGATATTTTCTTTTTTAAATTTGCCAATGCATTCTGATCATGGAAAAAAAAACCCTCTCTGGATTACTGACATGTATCTATAAAAATTACTAGCTACTCCCAGTCCAAGAAAAATTAGGTGATAGGCGTACAGGTGCAGATGGTTTGCTGCTCTAGAAGCAGGACAAAATCCCAGTTAAGTTTCTTGCTAATACTTATTTATGTGTGAAAGCAATTTTCTGGGCATTACAAAACTTGTAGTTTGTATTTCTGAGCAGCCAGATGTGACCAGGGGCCAAGAAATATAAATAACGGTGCACAAAGTTTTACCTTAACAGTAGCAATGAAATACAGGTTGACATTGGGTTGTAGCCTATTTTCCAATAAGACCATATTAAAGAAAAATAAAGTTCTATTGATAAAATTAATTTTTGTTAAGTTTTTGGCATAAACATGAGATACTTTTTCCATCAAGGAAATATGTGTTCCCTATTGTGAAAGGGAATGCAGTGAAGCATAGTGTGAATGTGTGAGAGAAAAAAGAAGGAAAACCAGATGGCCCAGTGGGAACATAAAGATGATTAGCAATCCTAATACCCCTGCAATTGGTAGGCTTCTGGGAGATAAGGTGTTGAACACCTGATTCTCGACATTACTCCCAAGGTCTTTGCCTGCACTGGCATAACCTTCCCCATTCCCTGCCTTCACTTCACATTTACCTTATAAAAATGTGATTGAAAACAGTTTTATAATAGGTAGAAAACAAATTGTCCACAAGCTAACAGAATTGTTTTTTCATGTGGCACATCTAGAGGGTATAGAGGAGGACTCAACAACTTAGACTCTCCAGCAAAGCGAATCCAGAGTAGAAGAAAATTGCCAGAGGGTACACCATCAACAACCTGAGCACAAAAACTTAAATTCACACTGATGATTTTTATATTTATACCTCCACAGGAGAATGCATGTGAGGGAAGAGAGAAACTTATGAAGAAGATTTAATGGGAGTGTTGCATGATGTAGAACACCATTTTAATATGATAGACCATTTTTATCATCCAATAGACTGAAGAGTGTACTTTCAAATCCCTATATTTAAAGAAAACTCTAGTTACATATATATTGACAGGCCCAGAGCAGCTGGCTGCCGCACACAGAGGGAAGGAAGACATGCTGGAGCTTGGGTAAACCACTGTCTTTTCCCTGAGTAAAAAAAGCCCAAGTCTAATTGCAGCATAATCAGGCAGGCACATGGGATCAATTAGAGCTTGCTAGAAGCCACAGGCTAATTAGACATCTGCAGTCAATTAAGGCCTGTGGTGCTGCTTTCAAAGGTCTCTCTCCAGGCAAGGAAGGAGAAGGAAAAGAGCAAAGGTCAGGAGGAAGTGAGGTCTGGAAGAGCAGTGTGAGCTCAGGACTGATGAGCAGGTACCAAAGAAAAGTTACGGGGAGGGATCCTTTGGGGAAGTAGCCAAGGGAAAAGCTGCCAGATTGAGAGTGGGAGTAACCCTACCTGTTGCTGCTGCCTTTGGGTTCCTGGGCCGGAATCCTGAGTAGTGAGCAAGCCTGGGTTTCCCCCAAACCACCCCAAAACATCACAAAAATCTGCCCCGAGAAGAGAGACCAGGACCCAGAGGGGAGTTTACGAACTAGTCAGTGGAAAAGATAGTCAAGAGAAAATGGCTGTGTGGAGGGCCACAAAGAGCCTCTGAGGCTAACACTATCTGCCAGTAGCATGAGACCCATGAAGAATGGCTAGAGCTTTTCCACAATATTTACTAGCAGATATAGCCAGTGTTGCTCGGTTCTGCAACTGAAGGATTTTTTTAAATAAATGAAATGTGTCATTTCAATTACTGTATTTTTCGAAAATGAAGGCTGGAGTGAGAGTTTGGGAGTGAGGAGGGGAAGTCAGTAGGTCACTTAGGGCACTCTTGGTGCTGCAGCGGCCCCCAGTGACCACTCTCACCATCACACCCCTTCCCTTTCTGTGCCCCTCCTCTCTCTCTGTCTCCTCCCCTTCCATGTTATGGAAAACAGTCCTGTGTCTAGCACTTCCTGTTTTCCAAGCACAACCAAACCCTGACTCTGGTTTAAGTTAGGGTAAGAGGAAGATGCATACCAAATTTGGTGGCCCTAGCTCTTATGGTTGAGGAGGAGTTCTTAAACAAACGGACAGACAGACACACACACACATAGACACTCTCTCTCTCTCTCTCTCTCTCCCCCCCTATAGATATATATTAAATGCAAGCACTGCTTCAAATTTGCAATTAAAATTTCTATATAGGTTAGCTATGTTTGTCTTTGTCACAAAATGCAATAAAATATTAATGAAAATGGAGAGGCCAAAAGAATGTCCTTCCTTTTTATTGAACAGCATAATAATCTTATCACTGGTCTTCATGTATTCACTTGTCCCTTCAACAATGCACAGGTTTCTCTGACTTTCAGTGATCTTTCTGAAAGCTGGACTCCACCCAGTTGTGTAGTCTTGAGCCAATGGTAAAGTTGATGGGATTTAACTATGAAAAATACCACAGTTCTACCCCATCAGTGTAACAAAAATGGCACCCTCTTTCATGAGTATAGCCAGATAAGACATAGCCATGTAGAGCCAAGAAACTAACCTTATCAAAGTTCTAATGTTATTTCACCACACCCTTTTGAACTGTTTAGTCGGGTTTTAAGGGTACTACTGTGGTCAATTTCTGGGCACCCAATTTTGTGAAGGTGAAGGGCCACGTCTTCACTACAAATTGAATGTTATCTGAAGTAGCACATCCAC